CAGGCGACGGACTTGACTATCCGACTGTAGACACACTGGACCATGCATTTTCAGTACAGGTGGATGCTCTGGACTCATGTCTTTCAAGGCACCCAAAGCTAGATTCACACGCGAGGGCAAAATCTCGCTGCCCCGCGGACCGAACAGTCACGTGATTACTCCGATCCAGCGCAGCAGCGGAGACGCCCCATGCACACAGCAGAAGCTACGCTCGCGGAATCCCCGTGCATACTCTCGACCCCTATGCTTATAGAGCGCACTTATGCGACCAAAAACCACTCGCCTCTTCCACTGTCACACGAAAAACATTTGTTCGTTGCCAAAAAACTAAAACACGGGGCTTCTAAGCCGGCAACCTAATTCCTACCACGCCAATCCAATCGATGTTGACAGATTTGACGCTGAATCCTCTCGATCATAGAGTTTCCTAAAATTAACCAGAGGGGACTCTGTCGCTGCAATCGTTCAGCGACCATGGGAATGGTGGGTAGTACACAAATTGCCTAGTCTTCGTACTTGCAGGCGGCGAATCGTACTTGCGGCTTCGTTTCTTGCACTGTTTCGTTTTTGTTTCGAAAGAAAGATTCAACCTTTTTGAACTTCGCGACCCGATTTGGAAAGGTAAGTATAAAAAATAAGATGGTAAATCGCAACTGTTGAAGATTTGCTGATTTTTGTTTCGTGAGAAAATAGCTCCAAGCCACACGAACACACACGGAGCCAAAAGCAGGCCAGAAGTACGAAGACTAGACAAATGTGTGTACTACCCATCGTTCCCATGCTCGCCGAAGCGCCGTGCGTTGCAGCTCCCAAAGACATTAGCGCCAGAAATCTCTCTATGATCTCGATCGAGGGCAGACGACCTTCAAACGGACTGATCGAAATAGTGGCGACGCATTTCCGTCCGTGCTGCGAGCGGAGGAGAGCGGATAAAGCGACGACGGCAAGTTTCGATGACCTGCACATCAGGTGATTCGCCGTCCGCTACGAGAATTCCTCCTCCGTTCCCTCGTGTGAATCCACCTCAAAGGTCTAAAGTCTCTGGGTGCGCGCGCCGGTGAGCCGCCTCAGGCGGGTCGGGGAGCGTAAAACATGCGCGTTGATTGATTGATCAAAACTTCATTTTAGTCCGGAGAAGACGCAGGGGAGACCCCGCGCCACCCGGCTAACCCCACGTAGGGACCGTCAAGCCGAGCTTGGCGGCCCGTTCACGGGCACTCTGGACGGCCAGGGTTTTATCGTTAAGTTCGGGGCTGCGTAAGAGCGCAACCCACCTGTCCTCGCTCAGGGTGGAGCCGATGGCTTCACATTCCCAAAACACATGATTGAATGTTGCTAACAGTCCACGGGCGGGGCAATCTGCACTGGGATACCGTTCAGTGTACACGGTACACGTATGTTCAGATTGCGATGGGGAGCACCTGAGACCGGTGGGACGGAAGAAACGTTCGGTCACGTCGATTGCGCGCTGCATGGCTTCCTCAACTTGACCATCACTCCCGCTGGTGCACCAGATGATTATCATCTACGTAGATGGTATGATTGATTCCTTGAACATTCGTGAGTTCCTTGGAGAGCCCGATCATCACGATTTTAATTAGTGTTGGTGAAATAACTGAGCCCTGAGGCGTGCCGCGTGAACTGAGGTTGATCTCTCGTGAGAAGTACCCTTCAATATTGAGCTTGGTAGTTCTCTGGCGAAGAAACGATCTCATGAAGTCGTAGACCCTCTTCCCTAGCCTTAGGCTGGCAATAGACTGGAGAATCAATTCGTGAGAAATGTTGTCGAAAGCCTTTTCCAGGTCTAATCCAAGGATGACTTTGGTATCTCCTGTGCTCCGGTCGATGATCTGATGCTTTATCAGCTTCATGGCATCCTGTGTCGAGAGGCCAGCTCTGAAACCAATCATGGTGTAGGTGTACATGTCATTGATCTCGAGGTGCACCTTGAGTCCGTTCAGAAGGGCATGCCCTGTGACTTTACCGACACAGGAAGTTAAGAAAATTGGTCTTAGATTATCTACTCCTGGTGCTTGTTTCGGCGAGTAATTTTTTTTGCGTAATGTGGGCCAAATATTAGGGGCGCGCAAATTATGCGAGTACATACGGTAATTGCCTGTGCAGAGGCAAAGAAGGTATTGTTGCCGTACAGATCAGCACATTCTAAAACATATCGATGCCTTAGCCTGCTCTTGTAAGATCGCGTCAAACACAGTGCACGCAACTTTTTTTCGACAAATGGGTCGTTTGTCTTAACTGGGTATCTTCGCTCGCTCATAACATTCGTTGCCGAGTCGCTTATCCTCAAAATGAGTGGAAAGCCAAGAAAGGGGGTTGAGCTAGCGGAGAAGACCACAAGACCATATACACCGTGTGTTCTCCAACCCCAAAAAAAACTGCTATAACGGCACGGAGTATGCGTCTTGTTCTCGAGATCGCTCAAGCTCACCCAGTTGTGTCCACCTGGTAATCGCAAGAAGCCTCGTTCTCAAAAAAAAAGAAACACCTCAAGTCATAAGCAAATGTGCTACATGTGTAGTAAAAAAACATATTTGCGCTATTCTGCGGCATGGTAAGCGTCGGCCAAACCGGACGCTGCGTGAATGAGCAGGCAAGAAAACACGAGCTATCTTTCAAAGGTGAAGATGGCGCGCATTTGCCTTTACATTGCCACGCACATGAGTGTCAGCCAAGACGGGGCAAGATTAGGATTTTCGGCTGAAGCAAAGATACGATCGCGTGAGAATTATTCGAGGCCTTTTTAGTGGCGTAGCCAGGGGTATGCCCAGCAGATGAGCATAAACCCAGATGAAAAACGTGAAAATTCATGGCACTGTCTTGTCGATGGCGAGTCGGCCATGACGAGTTAGCGAGTGGGCGAGGCACTGGGGAGTTACATCAGTGGCCCACTCGCGCACGTAAATTAGTTAAAACTCGTGTGTTCTGTATAAACAACGCTTTACTGGTCATGATTTGTGTGTTGTGTTGAGTTCTTCATTTCGTTTCGCTTTCATTATTACTACTTCGTGGTCTGTGAAATGTAAAGTCAATCGTTCTTCGGTGCGATCTTGACCGAAGTTTTCAAAGACGAGGTCTGTGCACGTTTTATTTATATATAGGTGTTTCTAGAGGAGTGAGTCTTCTAGGTACTTCGACGAGGCGTGAATTTTCTGTTTCCCGACTAGATTGGACTTGTACGAAGGCTTGTTCACCAGCCTTTACTTTGTGTGCACGTCGATGGCTGCGTGTTCTGGTATGTTTCTAGGAAGGTATCGCACCATTTTTTGTGAACGTCTATTGGGACGTTGATCATTTGGCCTTTGATTGCGTACTGCCCGTTGCCTTGCGTTAAACGCCTCAAGCTCTTGAAAAGGAGCCGTGAAGCAATTGATCACTACTTCCCGAGCTCTCACCTCCGGGATAGCCTGCTGTCCGCGTAGATGATGAACCGCCGCATGCCCCGCTCTCCTCTCCTGCGTAACAGCTTGTTGTCGGCGTTGCCCCTTTACCACTGCTTCTCGAACTCTCGCTTGTCATCTCCGTCGGCGCTGCCTTTCGCAAGTGAGAGCGCGTTGGCGTTCGTTTTCATCCATGGCAGAAAGAGAATGTATGCTCTCGAACGCGCTTATTCTTCATCTTCATCAGCCGCAGCATAATTAAACAACATATAATGCTCTACATATGTGTAGCGGTTACCTCGCTTATCAGCAGAATGACGAATGACATAGTGGTATCACGGCCGCTTGATCTCTCCCTTTGGTGAGGCCTGCCGAGTTGTTTCGCGAACAAAAGAGCGCGCGTGAAAGAGAAAGTTGACTGACTTGCCACGACAGGTGGTGAGGGCGCTGCCCATCGGCGAAGTAATCGCATTCGCACCGGCTTGCACAGCGTCCCGAGAAGGGGTAATCTCACTCATCCTCTCTATTTTGTGACATTCGTATTATAGTGCCCAGAACAGTTCTATCCTGCCGTCGTTCGGTTAGCATACGATGCCGTTTTGTTCTCCCATACTATTGTTATGAAGAAGCTGCTGAGTATATTCCTGGCCAACGGGCTGTATTTTTTAGCATCTGGTTAGAAAACAGACATTTTCGGAAACCACTTTTCCGCAAAGCCCTCAGTTTGTCACATCATGCATCATTTGAGTGATAAATTGTCTATATGGGACAATTTACGAAGAATTATTACTTGTGACTGATAGTGAGTGCTTTCCTACTTCATGGAAGTTACGGTGGGCGTATAGTGGGTACCTTGTATGTGCTGCGCCGGAAAATGGGCAATACACAACGGACAAGCCTAGACCCTATATAATATGTCTCACCCCAAATAATCGCTATTTACTTCATGTGGTTACACTGAAAATACACACCACAAAGACATCTTCATATAACAACGTATGCAAAAAGAGACGAATAAACCGTAAACACGCACCCACAGAATATTGAAACTTCTACACGACGTACTTTTACACCAAATTCAAAGTATTAATGACCCTATTTGGCGTAGCAAACGCTGTCCCAGTGAGTAACCATGAACTTAGACATATAATCGACGTTATCGACCGAGATTCATATAACTATACTGCTGGGATATTTATCTGCCATGACGTAGAGCAAAACTGTTACTTCGACATATTCAACAAAATTATTATTTGCCAATTTTTTTTTCTATAAAAGCTGTCACAATTGCAGCATATCCTCTGACCAACAAAATCAGCAACCTCCACTAACACTGTTACTCGAACGTTACTACCTCCCTTATATTTCTACAGTGGTAAAACGTCAGCGACGCATGGCCAAGTAGACATAAGAGTTGCGAATGCTGATGCTAATAACTTTTTTCTGCCTTTTTGTGTGGGGGAGGAGGAAAAGGGGTTAACGTAGCGTGTACACTTTGCGTCACCCTTGAAGCTGACATGCAGTTGCAACTTTGTTCAGTGTACATGTATTCAGTAAGTGCACTGTGTTCTTCATAGCAGTTTCAATTTATTCATATTGCAGGTCCGGGGGCTGTGAGGACGGCCCTTGCGACGCTGTTGCAGAAAAGAGCAGCTTGATCGGGTAAGTACTAAGTCACTTGTCAAGACGTTTGGTGCTTGCGCATTCCGAATCGGTCATGGATAAACTTGCGAGTAAAGGATTGCCAATAGCTATGCGCACAACAAGGGGGTGCGTTATATTAGTTTGACTTTTTTAAAAGTGCTGACATACTAAGCGACGACGGCTACTTTTGTCTTTCATTGTTACGGCTTCTAGTCGTCGGTAAAAAGAAAAATAAACAGATGCTATAGGCGACGCAAGTGCACGCCGTCCTTGCCTGTGCGTATGACCAATGTAACCGGTGTCGTTTATTGCAGATTTCATCGAACTTTATCTCCTGCTTTGGTACAGAGACTATGGCTTTGTGCTGTTGAACTCGGGGTTGCGAGCTCTCTTATGGAGGCAGAATACAAAAACGGTCATGCGCAGATATTTGGATGCACGTTACAGAGCTCCCTGTGGTCAAAACTAATACGGAGCCCACCAGTGAGCACAGCTGTAAGTGGCATTTGAAATTCAGTCAGTTATTATTACTTAATTTTTTTTTAATTTACATCACACACAAAAAAAATATTGCGATGTGTTCTTGTTGCCATGACATTGGTGCTGTCACCCCTACATGTTGCGCAAATGGTCATTGATTCAGTAATTATAATTCAGTGCGCGTCCACCGTAGTTGCAGTACTGTGGTGCGCATTGCGCTCATGGATGTCGAATGACTGGAGAATTTCGAAGCGGGAGTTATAGGTTATTGTGTGTTCGTACGATAAGCACCATTCGAAAACGTTTTGCGCGACTCAGAAATACAGACCTCGTGCAAAAGCGTGACTTACGTGTCGACAGAGCATCTCATTCGGACTTTTGAGACTGGTGCAACTTGATGACGTGGCTTCGACAACTGTTAGGTAACATCTGCGCGTTTAGGTTACTGTAGGCGAGTGGGATATTCGTACTCGTTATCTCACTTTTTAGTTAACGGTTCCCAAGCCAATTGGACGGTACTCAATCGCAGTGGGAGATTCTTGCCTATGTTCGCACTGAAAAATGGGCCCAATTTACTTTCTTTTTTCATTGACAGCAGATCACATGTTTTGTGTTTTCTCTCTGTGTGTATTTTTTATGTAGGCTTTGCGCTACAATTATCGTAACCACTGAACATGAATCATTGCACAGAATGCGTCGACCTAAAATTAAGCCACCAACAACATTTTCTTCTTCACTCACGCTTCCTGTGCACTGTTGGTGTGAGTTAGCAGCACGGAAACTAAGATCAGTGCAGAGGTTGTTAAGGGTGTCATGCCCCGCCGCGGTGTCTAGTGGCTAAGGTACTCGGCTGCTGACCCGAAGGTCGCGGGATCGAATCCCGGCTCCGGCGGCTGCATTTCCGATAGAGGCGGAAATGCTGTAGGCCCGTTTGCTCAGATTTGGGTGCACGTTAAAGAACCCCAAGTGGCCAAAATTTACGGAGCCCTCCCCTACGGCGTCTCTCATTATCATATGGCGATTTTGGGACGTGAAACTCCACATATCAATTAGGCGGTTAAGTGTGTGATACACTACCTGATATGTATTGCTGTCGCACAGCAGTGGTCGTCACTCTGTTGTGGATTTGTTTCGGTGTCGTAAAGGTGTGTGCTCTTCACAATTCGAACTTTGATTGATTGATTAATTGATATGTGGGGTTTAACGTCTCAAAACCACCATATGATTATGACAGACGCCGTAGCAGAGGGCTCCGGAAATTTCGACCGCCTGGGGTTCTTTAACGTGCACCCAAATCTGAGCACACGGGCCTACAACATTTCCGCCTCCATCGGAAATACAGCCGTCCCAGCCGGGACTCGATCCCGCGACCTGCGGGTCCGCAGCCGAGTACCTTAGCCACTAGACCACCGTGACGGGGCACAATTCGAACTTTAGGTGTATACACGCGTTAGCAGTATCTGGTTCCTTCTCGGTCCCGTGAGCGATTGGGGACAACTTGATTGCAAATATTTGGGTAGAATATGAAGAAAGCGTTTTGGAAACAGAGCAGAGACCGCCGAAAGGAGAACCTTTCAGTGCGGTAATTATTCTAACATCGTTACCGAAAAGCGTTTTTTGCTTATGCAAAAATTAAAAGTGTGCCTTTACAAAACAGGACAGAAGAGAATACAAGAGAAGAGAAAGAAAAGAAAGAATTTAGGAGGCATAGTGTGAGTAGAATGTGATTTCATGTACGAGAGCACAGTTAAATAAGTAGCCATAACAGTACAGCATTAGGCAACTCAAAGAAAAGACTTGCGGAGATGTGTTCCATTTCTGGCACCCAAGTGAAATGCATCAATTCGCAAAAGATAAGACCCATTCTCCCAAGAGAGATCTTCGGAATAATGCGCCACAAAGACGGAGCGGTCGCTACTTTCAGGGTTGCGGATGTGCCTAGAATAGGAAGAGCGTGTGTGTACAGAAAGGCAGCGAGATGAACCAGAGATAGTCTGGTTGGCTACCCTGCACGGAGGCATGTGGCGGAGCGCGCTAAGCAATACGATTCACAATGGCATTGTTGGCGCAAGTGCCTGCACATAAACGCAGGAGCACGAGATTGATCTCCCATGGCGGAGTAGGCAATGTTTTAATTTTATTCGCCATTAGGGGCCGTTGAACCTCCGGGTGAGGAAGAGGCCTGATAAAGACGGCGGCGTAGCGGAAAAGGTGGGTTCGGCAAATCGACGTTGGAGGTTTCAATTGCTGTCACAATATATTACATAGCGCTACCTTGCGCTGGGTAAGGGAAGGACATAGAGTCAAAGGATGTCGATGGGAAGAGAACGGTGATAACTACCCAGTAGGCTCTTGCGCGAACAAATCAGCACCATACTGCGTACTCACATCTGCGTCCGACTGCGATGCCGGTTACATAGTGCAGACTGAACAACGCGTTGGTAAGATCTTGGTGAGCGCGATTTCTCAATGTGTTTCTGTATTGTCAGTAAACTGTGTGTGTGGTGCGAAAAATCCCTGCTTAGGCAGCGTGCACAAATCATTTCGTCCAAACATTTACTCTTTCCATCGCTTTTCTCACATTCGCAATGCTACGCCATTGCTGAGCATGTAATTACAGCGTGTTCGAAGCAACCTTGTGCGTATACGTCAAAGAAATCATGGACTGCAGATTTCGCATTCAAATGAAATGACAAGCAGCTGACGATGAACGGGAAGTGAGTTCTTGGTGACAGAAAAAAAAAGAAGACGAAAAAAAGCCATGTGTATATAGTGGTCGCGTTGGTGCGCACACGGTTTCTGCACCGTTCGAATTTGTGCGCGCTTACATGAGCCTAAGGCAAACAGAAGCCCAACTGGAATTCGCTTTTGCTATAGCCTTATGCAAACAGTGCGCGAACGCTGCTGATGATCGTGGCAATAATCCCGCTTGAATGGGAGTGGTGGGCCGATTGGACCTCATCTCCCAGTCTCAATAAGTGTGTGCAAATAGAAATCATAGCGGACGCACTGGATGCAAACATGCGTTATTGTAATGGTTTGCGAGGACATGAATGAAAGAAGCAAAGAGCACACATCTCCTTGTAAATGCAAATAATTTCGGCATGCTCTTCCAATGAAAGCGAATCATATTACATGGAGCATCGGTTGCACGCGCACAGCTTCCATCGTATACCTAATGAGAGTTCTGGGCAGGAAAAGTATCAAATTACGCTTGGAAACGAAAAAAAAAAACTGGAGAATTGGTGCCGCGATTTTTATCCTCCATACTTGATGGTGAATGTCCTCCTCTTTTTCTAAGCGGCACCCCGACCTTAAAGCTTCCTGAATATGAGCTCGTAGGTAGTACATGGCTTGATCTCCAACTTGGCCATAACATTTCTGCAAACGTCCAACATCACTCGACATAAAAGCACCGGATGAGTTTGCATATCAAGTGACTATGCATGCAATTTTTCTCAGAAGCAGTACCAGCCCCCCAGTCGATCTTTTTTTTATTTATTTTACGAAAACGCGTGATTTCTGCAACCTTTTTTTTACAGCCCAATGCCTCAGCACAAAGAGAACTGAATTGAAAAAGGCTTATTGAAAAACAGTGTTGTTATGTTGCTTCCAACCATGAGCGATGTATCTGCGTGTTATGTCCGCGCAGGTAATGGTGCCCATTTGGTAAAAGTGTACGAGATGCCCAAAAATTGACATATTTTTAATTTCATTTCTGTGATTCCGATCATCTACGAGGGATTTTAGTAGATTCTGTCTATTTGTGTTGAGTAATTTCTCGAGCATAATAATAAGTGTAATGTCAATCAAAACCGTTCTACAGATAACTTTTGAATGCTCTGTCTAGAAGACGTGGTGCGTCAGGCACCTTCGCCTTGTGAGGACCGCAGTTGTGGAGGACATACCCCAGTCTTACCGTAAAATCAAGAGTCAGAGGATACTAAGTAACATCTATACTTGCACTGACACCTGAAGTAGCCTGATTGGCATGTTATTTACTTATTTTATCATACAAGGAGGAATAAGAAGTTGGAGAGTGGAGGTATCACTTTTTATTTCAGCTGCCTCGCCATGTTTTCGTCGCCGACCATTCTTGCACTTGAAAGACGAAGGGTAGAGTCTACTTAGGCCACTGAGTACGTGCCCGCACGGACTTCAGCAGCGTCTATGTGGTTTTTTTATGGACCGATTGTTGGTAAATTCCCAGGAACAGATGTGCTAAGGCGCTACACAAAGATTGTGTAGGCATTAATGCATTATTACGATTATATATATATATATATATATATATATATATATATATATATATATATATATATATATATATATATATATATATATATATTATAATATTGCTCGTGCTTTCCTACGCCTGTTTGTTTAACATGCTTTCCGGAACGCTGATCATCTGTGTAGTTCATGGTCCAATGGGCAAAGCAGTATAATAGACTGCCGTCCTGAAGAAACTAGGGCTTAAACTAGTTGCACCAATATTGTTCGTAAGGGAGAACCTCAGGCAATCGTGATGCCGGAGC